AATTCTCTGCTTTATTTCTCTCAAATTCTCTGCTTTATTTCTCTCAAATTCTTTGCTTTATTTCTCTCAAATTCTTTGCTTTATTTCTCTCAAATCTTTTTGCTTTCTCAAATTCTTCAATTTTTCTCAAACTCTTTTTCTCGAATTCTTATTTAATGTCATTAACTTATTACAATTAATTTAATTTTATTTAAATTCATTTAATTTATTTTTCTCAAATTCTTTGGGTGGTTTTTTTTCCCTTGAGGGCTCAGAGGGAAAACACACAGAAAGCAAAGACTTGGAAAAAACCAACAGGGATGGAAGGAACAGGTAAAAAATCCAGGTGGAGCAGCACCAGCAGGTCAGAGGGGACAGGCTGAATCCCACAGGGAGCTGCTCCATATCCCAACTCCACCTGGAAAAGCCCAGGATCCTGCTGGGAAGCTGCCAGGGATCCCTCCCCCATCATTTCACCACAGGAAAAGAACTCAAAGACAAGCCAGAGGACACATATTTACCTTTTCCTCCTCTCTCAACCGTTTCTCCTCTTCTTTCTTCCTCTTCTCCTCGAGTTTTGCCCTTGAATATAAAGTTAAATTTGAACTGGCACGAGGCATGAAGGGTTGGTTTGTCCCACAGCCCGTCCTGCCAAGCGAGGGGAAGATAATCCCCCACTCCAGGCAAGGCCTGGGCTCAGCCAGGACTTTCCTCATTCCACCTGGAGCAAATATTGACCCATTTTAGCCCCGGAGTGAACCCCAGCACCGGGAAATTCGAGGGACAAAGCAGCTTCCTGGACAAACAGGGCACTGAGGGAACAGTCCAGGCCAGGCAGGTCATGAGGGGAAGAAGCCCCACAGCTCATTTTGGGAGCCATTTCCCAGCTCAGAAGGTTCTGCTGGGCCAGGACGGAGCCTTTCCATCATTCCCAACCCATCCCATGGCACTGCTGAGGGACAAAACAGGTTCCTGGACAAACAGGGCACTGAGGGAACAGTCCAGGCCGGGTGAGTCATGAGGGGAAGAAGCCCCACAACTCATTTTGGGAGCCATTTCCCAGCTCAGAAGGTTCTGCTGGGCCAGGATGGAGCCTTTCCATCATTCCCAACCCATCCCATGGCACTGCTGAGGGACAAAGCAGCTTCCTGGACAAACAGGGCACTGAGGGAAAAGTCCAGGCTATGAGGGGAAGGCTCACAGCTCATTTTGGGAGCCAGCTCCCATCCCAGCTCAGCCTGGCCAGGACAGAGCCCTTCCAACATTCCCAACCCATCCCACGGCACTGCTGAGGGACAAAGCAGCTTCCTGGACAAACAGGGCACCCAGGGAACAGTCCAGGCTGGGCAGGTCATGAGGGGAAGGCCCACAGCTCATTTTGGGAGCCAGCTCCCAGCTCAGCCTGGAAGCAGAAGACCAGGACAGAGCTCTTCCAACATTCCCAACCCATCCCATGGCACTGCTGAGGGACAAAGCAGCTCCCTGGACAAACAGGGCACTGAGGGAACAGTCCAGGATATGAGGGGAAGGCCCACACTCATTTTGGGAGCCAGCTCCCAGCTCAGCCCAGGAGCAGAAGGTTCTGCTGGGCTGGGACAGAGCCCTTCCACCATTCCCAACCCATCCCATGGCACTGCTGAGGGACAAAGCAGCTTCCTGGACAAATAGGGACAAGTCCAGGCCGGGCAGGTCATGAGGGGAAGGCCCACAGCTCATTTTGGGAGCCATTTCCCAGCTCAGCTTGGTCAGGACAGAGCCCTTCCAACATTCCCAACCCATCCCACAGCACTGCCTGGTCGCTGGAAGGGCCTGGCCCGGGAATGTGGGGCTGGAAATCCCCCCCTGAGCACTCACTCCAACGCTTCCTGCCTCTCCTTGCGCTTCTCCTCCTTCACCCTCAGCTTCTCCGCTTTCTCCTTCTCCTCTTTTTCTTTCTTTTCCCTCCTTTCCTTCTCCTTCAGCTCCTTCTCCTCCTCTTTCCTCTTCTTTGCCTCCTCCTTGGCTCGTTCTTTTGCAGCTTTTGCTTCTTCCTTCAGCCTCCCCTTTTCTTCCCTCTCTGCCTGGAGCTTCTGGAGCTTGTCTGCTCTCTCCTGATCCTGGGGGAAAAAAAATCAGGATATTCAGGGAATTGTAGGGTTTTTGGGCACAGAAACCTTCAAAAAAACCTTAATTAAAGGATCAAAACCTTCATTAAAATCAGCATTTCATCCCAGAGCAAATGGTACCTTCTCAATGCTTGACCTGCAGCACCACCAATATTCCAAACTGGGATCATTCCCAGTTATTCCAGGTGGGATCACAACCACATCTGCCTGTTGTCTCAGGTACAACCCAGCTGAGCTTCCTTGTCCTGCCTCTCTGAAGGCTTTAATTATTCTTTTCCTCTAATAAAAAGAGGTGTTTCCATTTTTTTTCCCCCCCCTGAGCATCCTTTGCATTGAGTCACCTTCATTATGGAAAATGAGATGGGAATTAAGAAATAATTACTGGGTTTTTTAATTTAACAGGTGATGATGATGTCAGGTTGTTTCCAAAAATGTTTTCCTTGGAATTCCCTCACGTGCTGAGCTTTGGTGTCATCACCAAATTCGAGAAAAATAAATCAAAGAATTTGAGAAAAATCAAAGAATTTGAAGAAAATCAAAGAATTTGAGGAAAATCAAAGAATTCAAGAAAAAAAACCCAAAGAATTTGAAAAAAATCAAAGAATTCGAGAAAAAAACCCCAAAGAATTCAAGAAAAAAATAAATTAAGTAAATAAAACTAAATTAATTTTAATAAATTAATTACATTAAATAAGAATTCAAGAAGAAGAAAAAATCTGAGAAAAAATAAATCAAAGAATCTGAGGAAACCAAAGAAAAACAGGTCAAAGAATTTGAGAAAAACGAATTGAATTAAATACATATAATTAAATTAATTAAATAAATTAGAGAATCCCAGAAAACTAAAGAATCCCAGAAAACCAAAGAATCCCAGAATACTCAATTAAAGAATAATAAAGAATTTTAGAATACTCAATTAAATAATAAAGAATTTAAGCATACTAAATTAAAGAATAATAAAGAATTTGAAAATACTAAATTAAAGAATAATAAAGAATTTGAGCATACTAAATTAAAGAATTATAAAGACTTTGAGAATACTAAATTAAAGAATGATAAAGAGTTTGAGAATACTAAATTAAAGAATGATAAAGAATTTGAGAATACTAAATTAAAGAATAATAAAGAATTTGAGACTAAGAAATTAAAGAATGATAAAGAATTTGAGACTGAGAAATCAAACAATTTGAGACTGAGAAA